CTTGACATTGAGCCTCAATCCATATTGTAGGCTGCAGTCCTTGACACTCTGCAGCAGGCACTTCAGGTCCTCTTCAGTTTCAGCAAGCAGGGTTGTGTCATCCGCATAACGCAGGTTGTTGCTAAATCGTCCATCAATCTTGACCCCACATTTCTCCTCATAGAGCCCAGCCTCCCTGATAATCTGTTCTGCTATAGGACATACATTTTCACCCGTTCTTTTCCACCACTGGCTCTGTCACCCTAGGGGGTAAGGAGTTATGCTACAGACTGAAAGATAGGTAAGACAGTTTGAATCTACCACATCAAAGGAGAAAAATCAATAGTCTGCTTACATGCAGTTTATAACCTCTAAATTCTAGCATTTAGGGGACTCTCGTGGCTTCTTGTTGTTTGCAGATGAGTCAAAACTGACCCATAGCTGACCGTCCAGAAGGTAGTAAATCATGTGGAAAGAGATTGCCATTCCTCCTGCAGAGCAGCTGATGGATTCAAACTGTGTTCCTTAATAATTTTAGCACTCCTTCTTACCACTAGGCCACCAGAGCTGCACTATCAACCCAAAGGAGCATGGTACAAATCCACGAGTTGCTCCATTGGAGAAGAATGAACTGTCTCCTTCTATGATATTTACTGCCTCAGATAACCTGTTGAAGAGTCAGATATGAGTCATTTCCAGCTCACAAGTATATAACAGCATTGGCACAGTGGTTTAAGTGATGGGCTGCTAACTGAAATACTAGTAGTTCAAATATTTCAGCTGCTCTGGAGGAGAAAACTGAGGCTGTTTGCTTCCAGAAAGATTTATATCTTTGGAAGCCCTATGTGGTAGTTTTTTAGGAAAAGAACTCTAAAATGTAATAAAAAAGATTTGTTACAGTGGGCATCAACTCTGAGACAGTAAGTATATGTATTGCTATTTTAGCATTTTTATTAGCTCTAAAGACTTTCTCATCTATTGCTTTTCCTCTGGTCTGTTGTAGTCTGATTGCTGATTCTGGTAGAAGAAAAGCAGCCACCAAAGCAAAATTATTAAGCCTTTTTGTTACTGTAGAGGTATCCATCACAAAAAACTTTCCTGTAGTGACTATTGGATCAGAAAAGTTAATCAGTAACATTTTGTTAGAGTAAAAAATTGACTGAAACTAGGTATTTTGACAACAAAAAGATATCTGATGGTGCACAAAGAAGTGTTATATAAAATTAATACCTTTATAAGCTAAGATGATCCTTTATAAAAGGACACTTTGATATTTACATTTTGTATAAGTAAAGTGTGGATAATGAAGCAGGCACTGACATGCCTTTTTTTATTAGTAATTAGAAAAGAAATGCTCGCAGGAGCTGAACTATTTTATTTGATCGTAGATTCTTGAATTCTTAGCATTTTTAAGAAAGTTAATTTGATAGAACAAAAGTCCTCATTTTTCAATCTTATAATTCTTTTCTTGAATTAAGAATCTCATCAAGTAGTCATCTGTGTAAAGCACCAGGCTTACAAACAGAATTTATAGCTAAATAGAATGTTTAACAATAAGGTGTTTATACTTGCTGTTTCTTCCAGGATCCAAGAACCCTGTATCTACCATGCTGTCAAGACTTTTTCGAATGCATGGCCTCTTTGTGGCCTCCCATCCTTGGGAAGTCATAGTGGGCACAGTGACACTGACAATCTGTATGATGTCCATGAACATGTTCACTGGTAACGATAAGATCTGTGGTTGGAATTATGAGTGTCCAAAGTTTGAAGAGGTTAGTGAAATTAATTTGACATTGACCAAAGTAGTGTTTTTTATTTTGTAAAAAGTATCTCCTTTGTTATTTTTCTCTGTATAGAACAGAAAGAAACACTGTCTGGTCCTTCACCGTTGTCACAGCCATTGCAGTACTAGAGCCCAATGCTGCAGCCACTGTATCTCATTCAAAGACCACATAATAATTCTAACAAAAAGTTAGGAGTAAATTCTTTAATATTCATTAATTTACCTCAAATCTCTATTTATTTAGATATTATGGTAATATACAAGAAATAGCTTTGCATTTTCTGTATTAATGAGTGTAAATATTTGAAAAATAAAGCTTTTTTGGGTAACCTTTAGAAATTATTGTGACCATATATTGGCTTTATGCAGTAGAATATTTTAGAATCCAGGTTTCCATTTTTATTTATTTCATATTTGGTTTTGATTTGATATTATTATATTTCTATGGTCATAATATTTAAACTAATGATGGAAAATAATGATACATGCAAAATAAAACTGTTGACTGCTTTAAAAGCCAAAGGTATTGAAAATATTTCCTGTTGTTCCCTCTCTCTCAATAGGATGTTTTGAGCAGTGACATTATAATTCTGACAATAACACGATGCATTGCAATACTGTATATTTACTTCCAGTTCCAGAATTTACGTCAACTTGGATCAAAATATATTTTGGGTAATAATTTTATACAATACTTCTTTGTGCACTATCAGATTTGTTATCTTTTTGTTGTCAAAATACCTAGTTTCAGTCAAACATATGAAAATATGTATAGCTGAAGGTGTACTGTGTGGAGTCAGAAGTTTATTATTAAGGGTTAAACATTACATAACTTAAAGACAATAATCTAGAGGAAGAGAATATTGTTTCCTCTCAAAATATTATATGACACTAAATGCTATTATTTGTGTAATTGTGAAACTATATCATTTTATTAAATTTTGTCTTTTTAGGTATTGCTGGACTCTTTACCATTTTCTCAAGTTTCGTATTTAGTACTGTTGTCATTCATTTCTTAGATAAAGAATTGACAGGCTTGAAGTAAGTATTTATAGCAAAATTATTACATAATGTTTTAAAAGAATTTTCCTCCCATATTATAAAAGTAATATATAATTTTTCAAAGGTTTAGAAAATAAGGGAGGGAAACTTACCTATAATCTTAGATGGTGGTGGTGGTTGTTTTTACGTACCATAAAGTCTCCTGCAACTCATAGCGACCCTATGTACAACAGCCCTAAACCCTACTCTTTCCTGTGCCAATCTCACTGTCTCCAACACACCTACTGGCGTTACTCCAGTCACTGAATCAATCCATCTCACCGAAGGTCTTCCTTTTGCGCTGCCCCTCCACCCTCCCAAACTTGACATCCTTCTCCAAGGACTGGTCCTGCCTTGCAACATGTCCAGAGTATGTTAGATGAAGCTTCAAAATCCTTGCCTCCAAGGAGCAGCTTGATCTCAGCTTCTCTAGGACAAACCTGTTTGTTCTCCCAGCAGTTCATGTTATATTCAGTATTCTTTCTCTAGCACCACAGCTCAAAGACATTAGTTCTTTTATCCCTAGTTCAGCTTTCTGTTGCATAGCAAATAATTGCAAAAACAATGGCCTAGTGGGCAGAAAGTAATGATTCCAAGCCAAAGATGGATGACTTATGATCTGCGGCCCTTGGGCCTGTTTTTCACTGCTTTTGTTCAAACATACTTTTAGGTCGTATAGCCATGGTGTATCCAATTGCTGTACAGCGGTAACTTGTGGTTGCTGTGAAGCTGAACACTGTGACACTGATGTGGTGCCAAATGCGTTAATGGTTATGCATGGCGGACAGTGTTTGGTGGAGCTCCCCAGTTAAAACAAGCTTGGAAGCAGGAGTGGCATCCACTTCCATAATAGCGTGCCTCCAGAAACCCTATGAACCTGGAGAAGGGACGAAAGTCACACAAATATTGAGGACTTTCAGTCATAGGGTCGCTATGAGTCGCCTACGACTCGATTGCACTCAACAACAACAACAATATGACCTGGATCAGGTGCATTTTAGTCTGCAGACTGACATTGTTTCTCTTCAGTACTTTGGAGAGGTCTCTGACAGCAGACTTGACCAATGCATGCCTGTTAAAATTTTACCATTTATGCTTAATACTAGTTTATGATCTTTCCATGTTATTCTTGTTATGTGCCATGGTTTCAGAACCAACTCATAGCTGACACTCCAGCGGATTTGAGAGGCAGTAAATCGCATGAGAGGATCTTGCCTGTCTCTCCCACAGAGAGGATTCAAACCACTTGACTTTAGGTTGGCAGCACAGCTCCTTACCACTAAGCCACCAGAGCTCCTTTTTCCATATTAAACTATTATTTGTCATAGCTGTATTCTATTATAGAAACACATTATAACTTATTCCTCTAGCTTTACATAGGTAAGCTGGTTTACTTCATTATCATGAATATTGTTGTAGCTAAATCTTTGTTTATATTCATAGTCATTTCCTTACGATACGTTCCTTTGAATGGGATAGTGAATGTGCAGATCTTTAGAGCTCTGGACTGTCAGTTTACTCAGTCCTTCTACACATACTAATTAATGAAAAGGAAGATAGAGATATCCCACTTTTTCTCCCCCCAAACTTGAAACTTCAAATGGTCTTTATATTAATGGTGGCGCTGTGTGCTGCTGCAGCTCATAATAACCCTATTAATGATAGATCTAAACCCTGCCCTATCCTGTCCCTCCTCCATCTCTGACACACTTGAGAATGGATGTTCGCAGCCGTTTCTTCTCTTTTTTTAGTGTCTTCCAATCTGAGGGTTCTACTTCCAGTGCTATATCTAAGTGCCCCCTCTGTTTTCAT